AATTAATAACTTCTGAGAAATGGACCCAGAGCCTCCAGGAAGCTTAGTCGTGATTACAGCAGCATGGGCGGCGGGTGCGAGTGGAACTGGGATTGTACGTTGGAAGTGTTTGTAAGGTTCAGACATTATTACTATTTCATGCTTTGAGGTATCCCAAACCATACCTGCCACCAAAGAGCTCAGCTTCTTAACATCTTAATTTAAGATGTCTGAAACAATTTCAGTGTTAAATCAGAACGTTCAGGATGTTATGATTCCAGTGGATCCTTTCCTTTGAATTCATCAGCAATTTGCTTTTCACGAGCTGGCACTTTCTAAGTAAATAAGAAACAGCAATTACAACCCATAAGATAGATAATTGATAATTTTACTTCCATAATGGGACATATTTCAGAGGGAGTCAGAATGTATTTCAAATGGTGACATCTTTTGACAGAAGCTTTAAGTTGTTATAGCATACTAGAAAACATATAAAATACTTTCGGATCAAATCAGTATTTATGTAAGCAATAAGGTAGCTTACTCGAGGCTGTGCTGTATCGTGTATCATTGTTAGCCACCACGCGACCCCTTCTCAGCCATGACTTAAATTCACGAGACAGCACTAGCCTTGATTATACCTTATTGCTTTTATAAAACGGTTACCACACAATACAAATATTAAAACCAAAAAATATGTAACAATGCAACTTTCATGAAGTAAAATCTCTAAAAGCCTTCCTTCCGCTGGAAAAAAATAGTCCCTGACCGTGAACAGCAACAGAAGTTACATTATTTCGCCATTAGATGGCTGCAAAGATTTTCTTTATGAGTGAGTCAGTCAGTAGAGAAGACTTATTGAAAGGACTGAAACTTGTTGTGAACACGGAGAAGCAAAATTCAACTGACAAATGACTAGCATCACAGGGCACGGGAATTTTAGAACCATTGGGTGAAGCCGTGTTTGCATAGCCGTGTTTGATCGTGAATAAAACACAGCTATTGACCAATCAGAATCAAGGACTAGAACCGACCGTTTTATAATTTTTTTATTGATTGATTAATTGTTTGTACATGACCATATTGTACAGTTACCATGTAAACTGTCTCACATGAATATAGTAATCATATGGTAGCATGGCGAATATTAAGCCATGATAAAAAAAGGTAACACTTTACAATAAGGTTTCATTAGTTCACATTAGTATACTTTAGTTAACATGAACTAAGAATGAACACTACCTCTACAGCATTTATTAATCTTAGTTAATGTTAATTAAAAAAGTTAAGCTGGATTTGTATTAACTCAATTTAATGAAGATTAATACATTCTGTAACAAATTTCTCATTGTTAGTTTATGTTAGTTAATACATTTATTAATGTTAACACACACGCATGCACACACACACATATATACTGTATATACAGTATATACATATATGTGTGTGTGTATATATATAAACTATAGTAGAATATAAATAATACTAAAATAACACTTATTTGTTTGTTTGATTGTTTGTTTATTAAGAAAATATAATATAAATATATTGGTTTCATGACTTTAAGTATGAAAACCATATTAGATTAGTAAGTTTAGTTTATTTGAGCGACTCACATCACCCACCGCGTTATAACCCCCCGCCAAGTTAGAGGAAACTATTTAAGTTTTGCATCTCATTTCCTTTCAGAATGCTGCGTTCAAAAGTACTAAAATTGCCAGTATATATAAAGGTTTCTTTCTGATGCTTTGAGTTCTCCCAGGATACAGCACTTTTTTTTCATTTGTGACTGTCATAGCAATTCACCGCAGGCACTGATGCACATTCAGGCCCTGATCTGCATAAAGACTGTCAGATGGACTTTTGATTTAAGAAGCTTCTTTTATCCTCTGTTCTCTTTAAGCCGTGGCTCTAAAGTCCGTTCCATGAGAGCGCTCATGCATACAAACCTGACAGTCTGAAAACAAACGCTCATGTTCTCTTCCGGACGATGGAGCTGCAAACTTGTTCTTCAGCGGGTTGTTGTTTGAAACAGTCAAGTGGAAGAAACAACACGCTTTAAATTTCAAATGCAGATGGAGGGCAGCTGCTGACCTTCGACTTAAGTTATTCACAATGGATCCAATAAAAAAGGACAATTATTGAACCATATGTGCCATGTTTTTTTTTTATAAGTACACCTGAAAAAGGGCCAGAAGCTAATCTAGTCTTATGGCAGTCTTATGGGGGGGAGAATGTTTATCTGTTTTCTTCCATTATATATCCTTTATACATACATCCTTATATACATCCTTTTCTATTATAGGCCAGTCTAGTTACTGTAATTGGTCCTACAGTACCTGCACTTCTCCGACCAGGGTTTGAACCATTGTCAACCAGCATGGAAGATGTCACAATAACAAGACCAGCATCAGCGCCACTTCACTCACTGTGCCTCCTCACTTGTTCGGGTTCCAGAGTGAAAAAAAAAACCCAGAATGGTCATAATGAGAGTATTGTTACAATCTTTGAAAATAACAATAAAAAACAATTACTGCTGTTTATTTATTTTTTTCAGAGAAAGATACAGTTGTAACCTAAACATTATTTGTGAATTTAACATTTTTAAATGGTCTACAGAGGCAACAACACAGGATTGTGGGAGCCGTGCTTTCAGTTAGATAATGATTACTATCCTAAAATTATTTTAGAGCTCCTTGGATTAAATCCACTTTATTTCATTTATTCGTTTGAAATAAAATTACAGTACATGTTAATAAACTGTAATTATACAATTAGTGTTTATTGCATTTATATCTAAATAAAAAAATATTAAGCATCATGTTTAATAATGACGGCCTGCCTTCAGTTGACAAACGCCCCATTTATATAAATACAACTATATTATTAAACTGTATAGGCCTATATAAAAAGATTGTATTTACAAGTTAAGCTCTTGTGTTTTTTTTTATTCGCTTCATTCTTTGCGACTTTTTCTGAATATTGCTTTATCTAAGTAGTCTACACTATTTAGATACATCATTATTCAGAAACAGGTGCAGTTACTTTTTTATTATTTTTAATATGAGAGAAACCCCCACCTACACCTGCTACTGAAGTTTATTATTTTTTTCGTCTTCAGAACAAAATGACTAAAAGAGGTGGGCACTGACAAGTATGCTAAAGACTTCTAGTACACCACTTGAGACCAGGCTATTGAAGTTTACCTATAAAGTGCTTACTAGCTGGCCTCCATTTCCCTCAGCCCCATTCGGGTCAGGGGACCAACATCCTACTTGCACCACTCTGAGCGGGATTCAAACCAGTGTCAACCGACATGAGAGACGGCATATTAACATGTACGGTAGTGTGCCTCTTGAGGCCAGAGGAGTGACGCTTTACCTATACAGCTCTTACTATATGACCTCTGTTAAGCTTACCCCCATCCGGGTCATGTCACCAATGTCCTACTCGCACCACTCCATACTCCAGCGGGATTTGAACCAGCTTTAAATGGCATGAGAGATGGGTGCTAAAAAGTATGCTAAAGATTTCTAGCGTATTTTTTTAAGCCAGGTGTGTGAAGTATACAGCTCTGGGCTCACTCACCACCATCCGGGTCACAACACCAATGTCGTACTCGCACCAATCTCAGCAAGATTTGAACCAGCACCAACCAGTTTGGGAGGCGGGTGTGCTAAAAAGGACACTGACCACAGCAGCCACTAACATCAGCCTTATTTTTTCTCAGAAATGACTGGGATCCTTATTTTCATTTTCAGACATCCACTTGTCTATTCTTCTACTGTGGCTCATTGAATCTCTGTGGGATCTGTGCAGTTCTAAATGAATGAATGTTCTTCAGTTGATAAATAAGGCCAGCTGAGCAGGAGCCTGACAGATGTTATAACAGCTTTGGGTTTATTTTTTTATGAATTGTGAAAACAATACAGAAAGCAAGAGACTCAAATTTATCCTTAATGCCCGCCACCTGTTTTGACGATTGAAAACTGTAATTTAGCGGAACTCCAGCCCAGAAAACAACATATCAAGTTCAGAAAAGCGTCACATCTAAGGAAAACCATTAAATATGTTGTTGTTCTTACTAAATTAAGTATTATTCTTCAATCTGTCATCATACACCATTTAATCTACAGACATAAATGAAACCTTAAACAATGCGACCTGTGAAGAAGTAAGATGTTACTATTTTAAACAATCAGAATTTCACATGGAGAATGATAAATCTAATAAATCCCATAGATTTACATTGAAGGAGGGACCTGAGTCATATCTAGAGACTAGAGTAGTTTTGCACCAACACTACTCACATTTTCTTCAATAAAATGTAAAAATATTTTGTGTTTTTTAATGTCTTTGTAATATTTGTTGGGGTTTCTTGTAGCTGTTAGTTTTAAAACTGTGTCTCGCTGTATGTGATGTGTTTTGTGTTGTACCCTGATGGCAGACTTTAGAGGTTTAATAACTGTGTCAGCGTGATTAATAATGGTGGAGTACCGGAGCAGAGCTGCCATCATCACTGCACTGATTACACCTGCTTTAAACTACATTTCCCACAGTGAACTCTGCACTGGCCCAACTCCACAGCAATCATTTATACTCGCTGTTTCTAAATGTCTGCTTAGCAAGAGCTCCATCCCAGTTGCCCAACACAAAAGTCGAAGTGTAATTTGTATGTGTGCATTAGTGGTGGGGATTTTTCAGTGACTCTTTCGGCCATTGCATGTCAGTAGGTGGCAAAAAGCGAATTAATGAGTGAGTCATTGTATCATTCACTCAACCGTTTCATTCAGAAACACTGAATAATTCAGGAATGGCACTCCACTTCTGTGTACTGCTCGGTAGACATGCAGTGGTTGATTAATGTTTTGTCTTTGTTGTTGCTTTTTTGTCTGAGAACACAGAGTATGGGTTTTGAACAGCAATTCATATAGTTAAACAAAATAAATAGTCCAAATAAAACAAACAAACAGTGCCAAGTAGACCAAGAAAATAATCTCTCTCTCACTGTTTCTCTCTAGGCTCCTACATGATGGTGAACTCTTCTCAGTATGGCGCTGGACAGCGGGCTCAGCTCATGTTACGTCCGCTGAGTGAGAACGACACACACTGTGTGCAGTTCAGTTATTTTCTGTACAGCCGTGACGGACACAGTCCCGGGGGCCTGAGTGTGTATGTGCGAGTAAACGGTGGCTCAAGGGGAAATGCCGTATGGAATGTGTCCGGCTCTCAGGGGCGGCAGTGGCATCAGGTGGAGCTGGCTGTCAGCACATTTTGGCCCAGCGAGTACCAGGTGAGTCGAATACCTTGCACTCAAACACATCATGCACATTGACTTTGTTTCAACTTACATGTCACAATCCTGTAACCTAAATATTCAGCATTTTTTTGAGGTGTCATTCAGAGGTGTTTTTTGTTTTCATGCACATTTTATTACAGTGTCAACTGTAGGTTAGCTTTATATAGACAGAAAAAAAATACATTAACTTATTGTAATTAATACGTACTGTAGTTGATATAGTAGTTCTAGTAAATACGTACTGTAGCAATTATTATTACATGTACAATACCAGTCAAAAGTGTGGGGAAAAAAAATAACAGTGTCATTGAATCAGTAAAGAATCGTTTGATTTGGCAAGTAATCGTTTGGCACAGTGGCGTAAAAACACTAAATGTAATGCCTGGTTCAGATTACACGATTTTAGCCCGATTTTGGCACGATCCGTTTGACGTAGGGTGTCGTGGGGATTCGTAAACGACAATGGGCGTCGGGACGCAAGATTCGATCGTATCATCTCGCATAGTGTGTCATAGTGGGCGACAACCTACGTCGCGTCTGTGATGCTTCACGACATCACGACAAAAAGACTAGCATGTTTAATTTTTTTAACGGTCGTCCACGACGGGTTCCATCACATGTATGAGGTTGTCCAATAGGAGCACAGAAGCTTTTCCGTACACAACTTTCAAAAATGGCAAAACGAAAGAGAGACAATTGTGCTACTAGGTGGAGTTATGACATGGAGGAAAGGTTATTAAAAGGAAACAGAAAACAATATTTTACCTCAAGTTCTCTTTGGAGGATTGACAGCCCATACTGTCCTCTTCGAGCAATCCAGGAACGTGTCCATTGTCGGGTTTTCTTTTTTTTTAAACGTTTTTCTGAACACAGGACAGTCAACACTCACCGCTTAATCCATTGTTTGTTTACGTTCGTTTCCGGAAGTCACTAGCTACTAGTTTCGCCTTCTCGATGACATCACGCGCATCGTTAAAGACGTCACACGATGACTGGTCAGGAAGCAACGTGTAGTCTGACATGTTTCTTGTCCATGACACGACAAGATTTTAGGACTCAAAATCGCGTAATCTGACACAGTGACTATCGTAACAGACATAAAAAATTGTGTAATCTGAACCAGGCATAACACAAACTTTCCTTGATCCTTTGAAATAAACGGGCTGTTTTCCATGATTTAGACCCACTTATATATATGTCAGTGTGTGTGTATATGTACACATATTCACTGATGCTCCAGAAGGAAACACAATGCATTAGGAGTCGGAGGGTGAAAACTTTTTGAATTTGAAGATCAAGGTAAATTGTACTTAATTTCTCTTTTGGGAAACATGTTAGTATCTTCTGTTACTTCCGAAGGGCAGTACAATTTTATATATATATATATATATATATATATATATAAACAAAATTAGAAAAAATTGGACATCTTCATCCTGTTCAAAAGTTTTCACCCCCTGGCTCTTAAAGTCAAAATGAAGTATGTGTTCTAAGTTTGTCATATCACAGAAAAATGTGTTATTAGACACCCAGCCAAATTTGAATGATAAAAAAATCCGGCAAGTACATAAAATAAGCTATCAAAATCTTGAAAAAATGAGCAGTAGTCTCTGCTCTCAAACGCTGGGGGTGTGTCCGTTGGCTGCGCTGAAACCACGCCCACTCGTGGTAAAGCTGCCGTCGCCACAATCTTATGTTAATTATAACATAAGTGCACAAGGCAACTTACACTCATTGGTGGGCACGCACTGCCGATGATGTCACCAGTTGTCGGCGCGACAGGAGGATGAAGGCCGAGGCGGGAGATAGTCGTTTCGGCCCCATTCACCAGTAACAGCGGATTATCAGTGAATCCCAGTTGTCTCCAACGAAAGTTTATTAAACTATCCCGTGTAAAATGATCACTACAGAGGCGGGTTTTGGTGGTGATCCTCAGCTCTCCATCAAGGTGGCTCTTCACAAAATTAATCCACCTCTTCTTGATGTGATCGTATTTAGGAAATTTAAATAAGGACGCCGATCTGTTTTGTACGTGATCGCATCCAGGTAGTACGCATTTCCGTGACGAAGACATAGCTAACTAGCAAACTGTAAGCTGTAGTAACTAATAATACTGACAGTAACTCGCGATTGAGCGGCAAACTGATGCGAATCTGCTCTATTTGTATTGTTAGGGGAGCGGCCAGCCTCAGGGGCTCCAGTGCGTCATCAGGTAGGGGCAGGGCCAGGAGCTCAGGCACTCCAGTGCGTCATCGAGTACCCTTTTAGCCCCGCCCAAAAAATCCATAAAATATCAATGGTGAAAAACTGTTTAACGGTCTAACTCCACAATTCAGTACTTCACAGTTCACAGTCTTTGTAATGTGTTTTAGCAATACATTTCTAACATTTATAATGTGTTTACAATTTTTTTTTTTAAATTGCCTTTACAGGGACTTTAATACATCAGTGAATGTTTGAACCTTTTGTAATAGTTGTGTTTGAGTCCCTCAATTGTCCTCAGTGTGAACAGAGAGATCTCAGAATCATACAGTCACTGCTGGAAAGGGTTCAATTATGTAAAAGATGCTGGAAACCTGAAGAATTTGCGGAACCTGTAGGATTTTTCTGAAGAACATTGGGAAGTTTAACTCCTCAGGACAAACAAGCGACTCAAGAACAACCATCACAGAACAAAACAAAACAAAACAAAACAAAAAAACAGTCATGGATCATCCATGTAACGACGCACAGTATTAAGAATCAAGAGTTCGTAAACTTTTGAACGGGGTCATTTTTATAAATTCAGCTATATTTTGTCTTGTGGACTATATGTAAACATATTTTATGTAAAATATCTTATTCAGGACAGTACTAAATAAAAAATAACATGCATTTTGTATGATCCCTCTTATTTTGTTAAAATTATTCACATAATGTGAAATAAATAAACTTTCAAGCACCACTGTATACACTCACTCACGTAGCACGCACACACACACACACATATATATATATATATATATATATATATATATATATATATATACTTACATACTTTTATACTATACATACTACTTTTTCCTACCACTAAATAGTCTATTATCCTCAGCTCTCGGCTCTGTCAGCAGTGTGTGTTATTGACTCACTTGTTCCTCTGATGGTTAGTGCACAGAACACTGTCACCTTGTTAAAGGCTATGATTAATAACTTGCCCCTCATTTGCTCCCCAAAAAGGCCATAATGACCAGTAAGTTGAGTGTGTTTGTGTGTGTGTGTGTGCATATGTAAGTGCACAGTCAATTAACCCCCGCTTTTGTGTGGGACCCGTTTGAAAGAGGAGGTCCAGTGTGGTTTCCACAACCCTGACCCGTATCGCTCCTCTCTCCATAAATCAGAGCAGCCTTAATGAGATTACAGCCCTGCCACGATCAATACACACACACACACACACACACACACACACAGTGCGCCAAGGGTTCCCACACAGAAAATGTGAAGAAATTATCTTTGCCCTCTGGTTCTATCTTTCGCTCTCCGTCATGTTTTTTCTTTTAGGAGTGTGGTGTCTAGTTGTTTCAGACGTGTCGTGGTTGAATAAACAGAGAATATAGTAAATTTGAGGTGTTTTGGAGATGTGGCAAGGCATGTTAGTCAACTGTAGTTAGCTTGTAAAAATTGCCTGCATCAATTTATGGCACTGTAATTCGTGATTTGTAAATGTGTAATGAATGTTGTGTGTAATTGTGTAAAGAAACACAGACAGATGCAAATGCACATAAAGACGCAGCTAAATTGCTGTATTTGTGTTGTCAAGAGAAGGTTATGAAGCAGCGGAGCAGAGCATTCAGAGCAGAGAAATAGGCTATATAAACTTTTCCAAACCCTAGTGAGCTGCCTACATAGAGAGGGGTTTAAAGCTCTATAGGTGCATCAGCAATATGTGCATCAGCCACAAAAAGCCAAATTAACCAATGACAAAATGGACCTTTCAGATCAAACAATTTGTACAAATGCTCATCAGGCTGAAGGACACACACACACACACACACACAAAAAGGGACACAACGTACCACCCCCCCCCCCCCCCCCCCCATTTTTTTTCCAGAATTCTTTAATAAATAGTTCAATAAACAGCAATTGAAACGCAAATCTTTTGTAAAATTATAAATGTCTGCTGTCACTTATATCAATTTATATCTAAGGTGTGCAGTTTCGTAGAGGCTAGCAATAGTAAGCTAGCTTTAAAACCATAAGAGGGGAAAATATCCCAAGAGGGGAAAATATCCCACCCTCCCTTCAGAGCTCCCTTCAAAGCCACAACTCCTTTAAAACACATGAACGTGCAAACGCCAAAGCAAAGTCTGCAAAGCATGACGACGAGAGTCACCTTGATGGAGGGAGGAATGCAACATTTTCAACTTACCTCATGTCTCAAAGCCCAAACATTACAATATGAATGTAAACAACTTATTTACGGTTATTATTCTTTTAAATAGTAAGCATTTAAAAGAATAATAAATTGTAATAATATTTCATATTTTTGATCAAATAAATGCAGACTTGGTGAGCACGAAGAGTCTTCTTTTAAAAACAATAAAAAAAAACTGAAGTATTCCAATCTTTACTGGTGGTGTACATTTAGGTTTCACCCTCTCTTTAATCCATCCTTTCATTCTGTAATCTGACTTGTTTGTTCCTCATCCCTCTCCCACTCTATCTCTCTCAGTTATGGCTCATGGGTCACTGGAAACCTTTCGGGCATCTTCACCCGGCTCAGATATAGATTAAATCAACTCACGTATACTCCCTTTGGGTGACAGCAGAGGAAAGAGAGAGGAAAATAAATGAATGAAAGATAGAATGAAGGAACGAGAGAGCACATGAGTGCTGCGTTACTCCCTGCGTGGGTCTGTAGAGATGAGATCAGCAGTCATGCAGGCCCATGGGGCGGCAGCTTGTATTAAGGATATCATTTCCGCCTTCTTCTAATCCGGGAAAACACAAAGGATCTG